TGGCTGTCAGAACACTAGGCGGTCAGTAATCATTAGCCGCAGGAACTCAAGTCCATGGAAAAGGCCCGTTGGGTCATCCAGGTCCATCCCACTGCTATGCCACCCTCATTCCCCCATCACGTCTGAGCCTTGCCTTCAGTACCCTGCCCATCTATGTCCCCCACGTGTATCTCACAGCACTGTCTTAGTACCTGCCCAGACAGATAGTCACCTGCTGTAGTTCATATGCCCCAAGTTATTTCCTCTTCAGTATTCCCCATTTCGCTCTATGCTCTATAGGGGTATGTCAACACAACATTATTTTGAAATAACTTAGTCCGCGTCTACACTGCAGGCAGATATTTTGAAATAGAGTTAGAAGTCCTCCAGCTTGACAGTATTTTGACATTATCTCCTGTAACCTTCACTGTACGAAGAGTAAGGGAAATTGTAAGAAGAGTGCTCTGTTTCGAAGTAAGTGCTGTGTAGACACACCCTTAGGCTAAGTCTACACTGCACAATTATTTTGGAATAATGGCCATTATTCCGAAATAACAATGTGAGTGTCTACACAGCAATTCCGTTATTTCAAAATCATTTCAAAATAACGGAAGGCTTATTCCGACTTCTGTAAACCTCATTTTATGAAGAATAATGCCTATTCTAAAATAGCTATTTCGAAATAAGGCGTGTGTAGACGCTCCATTACTGCTATTTCGAAATAGCTCCTCACCACGGCCATTCTAAATTATTCCTCCTGGGGCTCTAAATTGAGATTACATGTCTACATTAGGGAAGCCTGCCTGAGACTAATTTTGCGGCTTAGATATGCTATTTCGAAATAAGCTATTTCGGAATAACTCTTCCAGAATAGCTTACTCTGAAATAAGGGTATGTCTACACAGCAAAGTTATTTAGAAATAGCATCCGTTATTTCAAAATAACTTTCCTGGCATCTACACAAGCCAAGAGCTATTTCAAAATTAATTCGAAATAGTAGAGGGCTTTTTTCAAAATTGGTAAACCTCATTCCACGAGGAATATTGCCAATTTCGAAACTTCTATTTTGAAATAAGCGCTGTGTAGATGCTTATTTCGAAATAGGGGGCCTCCAGCCCTTCTCAGGGTGCCCTGCTGGCTACCCTGGCCACAAGATAACTTCTGACCTGGTGCGCTGCCGAAACCAGTTCTGGCAGGCCTTAAATGTGATTCAGCGTCCAATCAGTGTGGACGTGCTCTTTCAAAATAGCAAAAATGCATTCTTTCGAAATGCATTTTATGTGTAGACACATTATTTCAAAATAACTATTTTGAAATTAGCTATTTAGAAATAATGCTGTAGTGTAGACATACCCTTACTGTACAGTGTAGGCATAGCCTAGCAGTGCTCACCAACCAGTAGATCGGGATCTGCGGGTAGATCCTGGAGCCTCTGACAGGTGAACTTGACTGTGGAGGCCAGCAAGTACCAGCACATTAATTGCCCCTCCCCCACTGCCGTACTGCTCCTGCCCTCTATCTTGGAGCTGCCCCCTGGCCAGCAGTGCCCAGCTGGAGCCAGCTCTGAAACCCTGCCCTAGTCATGACCCCGTCCTGCACCCCATGTCCCTGCCCCAGGCTCAGCATGGAGCTCCTCCCACACTCCAGAGCCTGCATCCCCCTCTACAGCATCCCAACCCTCTGCCCCAGCCTGGTGAACGTGAGGATGGGGGAAGACAAGGAAATGATCAGGGTGGGTCCTTGGACAAGGGTGGGGAGGTGGGACAAGGCTGTTAGGATTTACCTCAAACCCAAAGTCTGCTCTTAAATTCAAAAAGTGATCTTGTGCTTAAAAAGGTTGGAAACCCCTGCGCTATATCCATCTTCCCTTTATCCGTTACCTTGCTGGCACTAAACAAACATGAAGACTGTAATCATAGAATCCTAGGCTGGGAAGAGACCTCTGGAGGCCATCGAGTCCAGCCCTCTGCCCAAAGCAGGACCAACCCAACTCAATCATCCCCCCCAGGGCTTTGACAACCCGAAACTTAAAAACCTCTAGGGATGGAGATTCCACTACTTCCCTAGAGAACCCATCCCAGTGCTTCACCACCCTTCTAGGGAAACAGTTTTTCCTAATATCCAACCGAGACCTCCCCAGCTGCAACTTGAGACCATTGCTCCTCGTTCTGTCATCTGTCACCACTGAGAACAGCTTTTCTCTGTCCTCTTTGGAGGATCTTAAGAACTTTATCTAACTCAATTAAGCAAATGAACTTCCATAACATCTCTGTTCTAATAGGCATCCATGTTAGGAGGCTCTTCTACTGCTATCCAAAAAGGGTTTTTTTTTTCAGTTTAGGAAGTGACATTGATAATATAACTTTCCCATAGCAAGAGCTGTGCATTTATTTATCAGTGGGCTGACTTTCTTTCTGTGCGGAGACTCACCACCAGGCAGTCAAACTTCATGTTAAATATCTAAAAGGGTATCATGAGGAGGGAGAAAACTTGTTCATCTTGTCCTCTGGGGATAGAACAAGAAGCAATGGGCTTAAATTGCAGCAAGAGAGGTTTAGGTTGGACATTAGGAAAAAGTTCCTAACTGTCAGGGTGGTCAAACACTGGAATAAATTGCCCAGGGAGGTTGTGGAATCCCCATCTGTGGAGATATTTAAGAGCAGGTTAGATAAATGTCTATCAGGACAGTATTTGGTCCTGCCATGAGGGCAGGGGACTGGACTCGATGACCTCTCGAGGTCCCTTCCAGTCCTAGTAGTCTATGATTAAATACTGCATATGTCTAATGCTGTCCCTTGTATGCTGGGGTGAATTACGCCCACCCAGACACAGTAGGGTTGGAATGTGACCTACACATGTTTCCACAAGGCAGTGAGGAGGCGTTCGAATCCACATCATTCCGCCACATGGGTTAGTCAGTCTCGGGGCTGTGTGTATAGGAACTAGTGCCTACTTCAGGTTTGTAAACTAATTTGAGATCAAAGGAGGAAAAGTGGCAAGTGTTGTGGTTACTCCCTGCAGCAGACATGTAAGGACAAGCCTTCGCCTCCAGTCCCATAATGGCTTGGCCAACATGAACAATGCTGCTGAACAATTGCTGTTGAGCTAGCCCACAGTACAGCTGATTGAAATATTTCCAAGAGAACAGTTTTCCATTGGAAAATGCAGATTCGATGGTATGAATGATTTGCAGGAACAGATTAAAAATTCTTCTTTTGTCGCTGGACCTGGAATCTGTTTTTTGTTCCGTGTGTGGGTATGTCTACACTACCACCCTAGTCCGAACTAGGGTGGTTAATGTAGTCATACGAACTTGCAAATGAAGCCCGGGATTTGAATTTCCCGAGCTTCATTTGCATGTTGCCGGGCGCCGCCATTTTTAAATGTCCGCTAGTGCGGACTCCGTGCCCGCGGCTACACGCGGCACGAACTAGATAGTTCGGACTAGGCTTCCTATTCCGAACAATCTGTATGCCTCGTTCCACGGAATAGGAAGCCTAGTCCGAACTATCTAGTTCGTGCCGCGTGTAGCCGCGGGCACGGAGTCCGCACTAGTGGACATTTAAAAATGGCGGCGCCCGGCAACATGCAAATGAAGCTCGGGAAATTCAAATCCCGGGCTTCATTTGCAAGTTCGTATGACTACATTAACCACCCTAGTTCGGACTAGGGTGATAGTGTAGACATACCCTGTGGGAGATATCATGGAGAAGATGCGCATGGGGAGTAGATGCATAGTCTGAGAGAGGCCACGTCTTAGAGGGAGGTTAGAGGCAGAGACGGGCAGGATATTCATGGTAAAGTTGAGGAGTGATATGGGGTATTGACAAAATAGATTTTATAATTGTCCAAAAAATGTTGACTTTTTCTGATTTGGGATGAAAGGAAATTTCAAAATGCCAGAATGCATCCAAATGGTAGTTCTGAGTTTTGAGCTCCTCTAACCCAGCGATAACTTACCACAGAAACACCCTGGAGCAAAGAGGTATCTGGGAAAGTGTTATGCTTTTGAGGGGTGTGTCTGAGTCCCAACATCTCAAGGCCTTGGTTTAAACTAGGGAGTTATTTTGAAATAACCCTCCCTTATTTCAAAATAAAAAGTGGAGCATCCACACTACCAAGCCCATTATTTCGAAATAACGGGCAGGTTATTTTAAAATCTATACTCCTGCTTTCCTCAGGGAATAACACTTATTTCAAAATAGTTATTCACTTTATTTTGGGGGGGGGGGGAGTTATTTTCAAAATAGCAGCAGCAATTAAAAATAATTACTCCCCAGTGCTTCTTGGGGCTCTAAGTCAGGGAAGCAAGTCCACAATAACAGAGCCTGCCTCCGACTAATATTGAGGCTCCTCCGTAGTGGTGACACACTATTTTGATTTTGTTATTTTGGGAGTTATTTCAAATTTACTTATTTCAAAATAATTTTCTATTGTAGATACGCCCATAGGCCATGTCTTTGATGTGGTCTTGGAATAATGTCAGCATTGTCAAGTCTCACAATTTCATTGTGAAATTCGATACTTTTGTTAAAATCCCAGTTTCTGGAAACCTGTGATTACATGAAAATTTCAGTTTGCATTTAATGGAAGAAAAATAGGTTTCAAAGCCTTGCAGTTGCAGGGGAAAAACTTGGAAACATAGCTGCTAAAGGCTTGGAAACAAGCAGCAAGTAAAAAGAACGCCATATTTGTTTACAGAATCTCCTTATTTTTATGTTAATCTCACAATGCTTCTGGAGTCAGAATCATGCTTTTTTTACCTGTTGGGACTAGCAATGCTACTAAATACTCAATCTAACTCTTTGCAGCAGAATGAGGGATTGGAGGAGAAATAATCATACTGACACCAAATCTTTATGATTTTTTTTAATTTCACATGGTTTAAAATACAATATGAAATAAGGCTACAGTATATAAAAAAACTCTCCAGCAAAATGATGTGCCAGCATCAGCAATTAAAACAAACCCAACCCCCTCCTTTAAGAATCCAAGGTAGGAGAGGCGATATTTGTATTCTTAAAAAAAAAAACCCACACACAGACACACACACATCGCTACATCTCTAAGCTACCTCAGTTCGTTTTTTTTTTTTTAAAAAGCACCTGCTTTTTCCTCTTTTTTTTAATCTTGCTTTTAAAATTTTTTTCACTTTTAAAAATATAAATTATATGAAAATACAAGTTGGAAAATAGTTGAACAGCACAATATAACAATCTCTTTTTTCTCTTCTATGTTTATCAGCTTAAAAAAATCCCATGTGTAAAAACAAAACAAAAAAAAGACAAGTTCTTTTACTGAGGCAGTTAATTCCTGGAGATATTCCATTATAACACATATGTATACATATATTTATCACATATTCAAAACTCTTTGGAATGTAGACAACAGCTCAACTGATGTTCAATAGACCCCATCAGAGAGACGCATGCCAAGGAAAGCACATTTGCAGTGTTTAAAATGAAAAGAAACTCAACAAGCTCTAAGAACCCCATCGAGGTCACCTCCCAAACAGCAATGCTCAAAAAGTGCAAGGTTTTGGATATATCCTAAAATTTAGACACTTATAACTTTTTTTTTTTGTCCTAACATTGGGCTGGAAATCTCCTGAGAGATTCATTTCAGGCTAGTGATGAATCGGCTGTCAGGGTCCTCAAGAAGTCATCTAGGCCAGCAAACTGTGCTGAGGCAGGGCTAAATAAACCTAAATCATCCCTGAAGATTTCCAATGATGTAGATTCCATAATCTCTCCTGGAAGCTTAATTACCCTTACAATTAGAAAGATTTCTTAATATCTAACCTAAATCTTCCTTGCTGCAGATTACACCCATTATTACTTGTCCTTTCTCCTGGGAACATGGAGAACAATTGACCACCATCCTCTTTCTAACATCCTTAGCATACAGGATTTGCAGACTGTTAATCCACTTTCTTTTCTCAAAACTATGATACAATTTGGTTCTTGTCCTGTTCAGACATATCTCACAAGTGGACTCTCACAGAATGATAATACTCTTTTTGGGCAGAACCTGGAAGGGTAATAGAATGTAAAAAGCCTGACTCATACATATGCACATTTGTGTATGTGATTTTAATACACTCAAATGCATAGGTGATTATCTGTGTATCACCGTTGGTATATTATAATCATCTCTATGTACACAGCAAGAGATGTGCAAACGCTGTAATGAAAAAAAGTCTGTAAATATTTGTTCCTTTTTTTAAAATGAATTAGCTTTGATTGAGGTCACTTTTCATGATCTTTCAAGTGCACAGTTTAACTGGAAGGAAGCCAGTTTTGAACAAATGTTGCAGAATATTCCTAGCAAGCAAACCTAGAATTCCCAATTACAAGTATTCAACAATACAAAGAACCCTGCCTCAGCACAGAGGGGAGGGACTAACTGAGCTCACCAGTCCTACATTTCTAAGCGTGTAAGAATTACACACACACAATTAGGTTCTTCCAGTTGGAAAAAAAGGGGCCATATCATGTGCCTGAGCACCTGTCACATGTTGGATATTAAATTCTCACAATGAATTACGAGCTCATGAATTAGTCAGAAAAAAAAATTGAATCAGGTAGCAGATTTGAGAGCTTCCAGAACAAAAGAGAAAAATAATTGACTTAAATCTGGTTTTAATATTTGCCCACAGTGCAAAATTGACCCCAATCCAGGGGGGCCAGCACAAGAGACACCACTTAACCCATCAAACTAGGACTTGCGCCGGATCTTTGCACAGAGGTGGATTGCAACCCCACTGCATGCTCTCTTTCACACACACTGTATCGATATTGCGTGTATAGAGGTTAACCAAAGTTTTTCACACCTCATAAAAGATGCAGTTGGAGGTTTAGGTGCAGGTACATATTTGGCCTTAACTTTAGCTCATCTGGGTCACACATCCCTGTTCAAGAGTCAACGTGCATTTAAAAAAAAATCTGCAAATTTCCAGTGTATAAACAGCACACCGTGCTTTCTGTGACAGACTCTAGCCTAGAAGGGAGGGGGAAAGAGCAAAGTGTGGGTTAAGTCACTGCACGTCGCCAAGACGATTCTGTCTGCCCCTTGTTGCATTTACACGCAGCCTGCAATTTGGAAGGTGAATGGGGGTGAGTAAACTTGGCACAGCGTTGGAAGAGACATGTTGGAAAAGATGGAGCCATCCCTTTTGCAGCTCTTATAGGCCACTTTGAGAATGTTATGGAAACAGATTGTCTTGAGCAGAAGCAGCTTAAAACAGAAAATCTGCCCATGGTCAACTCTAGCAGAATGAATATCTTCTCAATCCGGCAGAAATCCTGAGGACCAACCCCTGCCCCCAAGTACCAACTCATAGTAAAGAATTATTACTGATTGACTTTCTGCTTGAACTGAACTAGAGGGCCCTGCACTGTGACCAAACCAGGGGACAGACATTTGTTGGGAGGATTAAAAGGTAGAAAGAGGAATGGGATGGTAGGACATCTGCCCCGTTCCCACAAATCAGACATCAGGAATGGTAAGAAAAATAAACCTGTAGGGGAACACTTTAGCCTCCCTGGACATTCAGTAATGGATTTGAAAGTAGCCTTCCTACAAAAGAACTTCAGAACCTGATTACAAAGGGAGACAGCTAAACTGGAGTTCATTTGCAAATTCAATACAATCAACTGGTTAATGCATTACTAAGGCAATTTCCCCTCATTCGATATTCACATCTCCCCATCAAATGCTGTGAATGAGCCACATTCACCCTGATCTGAATAGCCTCATTAATGCAAGCAACATCTTTCTCTTGCTGTTCTTATATATAGCCCTGCCTCTGTAACTTCCACTCCAATTCATCTGATGAGGTGGGGTTTGCTTATGTCCTAATAAATCTATTAGTCTCTAAGGTGCCACAGGACTCCTCATTGTTTTTACCCCTTACAGGGGTGGTCCTGTAAAATGAGAGATTTAAGGTCCAGCCATGAACTGCCCAAAACTGACGCTGTAAGATGTGAACCTAAGGGCACGTTGCATGGAACACATAGAATGCTAACAACCCAGCAGAATTGTGTTACCAGTTGAGAATTAAACCTCTTTAGCTAACGAGTCACCAGCTACTATCCTAGTTTTATTTGGGACAAGTGTATTTCACTGGAATCACTTCTGGTTCAGGTGGTTCTCTGCCTCCCTGGAAAACAGAGTCCAAAATCTTCTTCCTTGCCTATCTTCTCTGAAACCCAAATTAACTCTACCCTCAGCTACTACCACCTTCAATGCTCAAAAACTCCACTGAGATGCCAACAGCCTACTCACGGTTCAGGAAGCAGCTTCATACAGCCTTCCCGCTACAATGCAGCCCACCGTGCCCAGCTATGAATGAGTCACCTTCTGGGTGGGCATTTTGCTTTGTGTTTTCTCTCTTTGCATGTAGTTTCTGGCAAGGAGGAAGACCTGGCCAACAGCAGCTTCATCCTTTGCTTTCTCCAGCTTGGTCTGAATGCCAATCCCCTTTTGCATCAATCCTCGTGTTTCATTTTTGCAGTCTCTCACATGCCACAACTGCCAGTCCCTCTCTGCTAAGGGCTAAAGGCATTTATGCTCAGGATGCTACATGAGAACATCTCTTTCAGAAGGCAGACAATCCTTTCTTCATTTAATGTAGACTCCTTTTACCTTCCTTTCATTATCCTTTCCTTCCTCTCCTTCATTCCAACCCATCTTTCTGCATGTCAGGTGGGAATCATGATTTAGAGCTTGTCTCCACTTACTAGGTATTTGACACTGTAGAGATCGATCTCCCAGGGTTTGATTTAGTGGGTCTAGTAAGGGCCCACTAAATCAACCGCTGAAGGTGCCCCCCGTTAACTCTGGTATTCCACCAGGTCACAAGGAGTAAGGGAAGTCGATGGGAGAGTTTCTCCTGTTGAGGTCCCACCGTAGAGATTCTGCCGTAAGTCAGGATAAGTACATCGACTCCAGCTACACTACTCACGTTGCTAGAATTGTGTACCTTAGTTCAACGTTGTCCCCTAAGGTAGACCTGTTTTTAGGCCCAGCAATATGCTCTGACACCTGTACTTCCCTTGTCCCATAGCCACCATCTGCCTTCAACATTCTTGGTTTAAGCACCTTCCTAATCAGCTTGCTACATTTCTCCATGTGTTCAGCTTTACCGCCCACCCACCTGCTGAGCCAGGCAAAGCTCTCTGGGCATGCTGGGCCTGACTGAGTTGCAATAAAAAAACCATGCTTAAAAACAAATGCCCTGATATTCACAGGTGCTGAATACATGCCATTCTTGTAAAATCCAATCAGAGCTTATCAAGGTGACTTCTTTCCAATGGAACTCAACTGAGAGCCTCCCATTGCTTCCTGTTTGACACTTCCCTCCTATCCCACAGTGCTCTTGCTACATGAAGATGGGAAAACAGGAAGCAAACTGGATGTTCAGACTAAATACAAGAGCATTTTTAGCAAATTTATTCAGAACCCAGTTCAGCAGCCCTGATTCATTGACACTCTTCTATTTCCCCTGCATTGATCTACAAAGTCTCTCCACCCTCCCACTCCCTGTATTGATTCACCACACAGCTTCCGAAATTAGTTCAACCATTAAAGAGAACATAAGCAGTTGAAAGCTTTAATACTGTCTTTGCAAAAGAAACGATATTTAAAGTAGATTCTACCAGGATCAACCCTTGTGGCTCTGGTTTTAGGATCTGGGTCTAAACATTTAAAACTCAGGGCCTGAGTCTCCCTTTTACTTTGGGTCTGATCCAGAAGTAAAGCTAATGAGGAGTTAGCCACTGACTTCAATAGGCTGAAATCTCACTCCTGGTGTACACTGACAGTGCACAGAAATGATTCCTTTGAAGTCAATGGTGTTATAAAGGGAAAGGGACAGGAGTATCAGGCCATAAAAGTATGACTACACAGCAAAAAAAAATGACACTAGGTAATGAGTCACAAGAGTCCAAGTCAGCTGACTCAGGCTCATGGGGCTCATGCAGCAGGGCTAAAAATAACAGAGTAGATGTTAAGGCATGGGCTGGCACCTGGCAAGATCTGAAATCTGGCTCCAGCTTCCATCTGAATGTCTACACTGCTATTTTTAACCCCACAGCATGAGCCTGAATTAATTGATCCAGGCTCTGAGAACTACTTCCACAGGGAAGGGGCAGTGTAGAGATACCCTCCATGTCTAAAACCTTGTCTATACTTATGGGAAGATCGACGCTCTGGAGATCAATCTTCTGGGGTTCAATTTAGCAGGTCTAGTAAGGACCTGCTAAATCGAATGCTGATGGCATCCCCATCAATCCCAGTACTCCACGAGGTCATAAGGTGCTCCATTGACCTCCTGCAGTGGAGATGCTGGAAAAATTTGATTTAAGGTATGTCAACTCCAGCTACACAATTCTGGTAGCTGGAGTTGTGAATCTTAAATTGAATTTATCGTGTAGTGTAGACCTGGCCTGCTGCATCTACACGCTCCAGACTCAAAGAGATCAATCCTATAAGATGATGGCCAATGCTAGCCTGATCCAGCAAAGCTGTTAAGCACCTGCTTAACATCAAGCATATGAATGATCCCCCTCACTTCAGTGGGGCTATTAATATGTTTAAGCATATGCTTATGAGTTTCTCTGGATTGGGCTTGCATGCTCGGTTGCCCAACTGGGGAGTCAGGGACCCATTTGTAACTCTGAGTTTCCATTTTACAAGTGCCTAGAATGGCAAACTAAAGGCAAGCATGGGTCAAAAATGGAGGGAAAAATCATCAAAAGTTTCCTCATTATCCTAAGTTTTCTCACTTTTCATTGTTTGAAGTGTTTCATGATTTTTTCCCTAATACACTTTTCCATTTTCCAAACTGATTTTTTGGGTCAGTTTAGTCACATGGTAGGATATTTTAAAAAACTCAAAACCCTAGCAGTTATTTCAAAGCGTTAAAAAACATTCCTTTAGAAAATAACCAGATACTGATTCTGACAATGATAAGTGCAAATTTCAGCAACACACTTTTTTTGAACATATGGCTGTCTTAAAAGAATGGTTTGGGACAAAAAAAGGTTTTCTTTGAAAAATTTCATCCAGCGTTAGCAACAAACAATAGAGCAAAGTGCATGGGATTCAATGCAAGTGCAGAGCATCAACCCAGAATTTTGGTGGCCAATCTGGCACTCATTTTCCTTCACATAAGATTCAGAGATCATAAGTCAGAGCGCTACACTTCTCCAGTGGGGTCTACATAAACTTTTTTTTTTCTTCACTGTGATAAAGCTCTCTGCTGGCAAAACAGAAACATACACACACAATATTGCAAGACTGAGACCATCTTAGAGCTTAAGACTATTTAAAAAAATACTGGCACAAAATTTAATAAAATAAAATTTTAACAAATAATAATAAAAAAAATCTTGGTCCCTCCTAAAAAAAATCTGCCCTTTGTGTAACAGAAAATAACCAACAAAAAGGCAAAGTAACAAGAACTATTCTTCTTTTTTTTCCTATGTCGCCCCCTCCCTCAAAACAGGAAGTTCTGCCCACCCCTGTTCCTCCCATCGATAAAAAAAAAAATCAACCACATAATCCTTAGGAGTCTTGTCACTTCCTGAATTGTCAGTTTGTTGCACCAATAACATAGTAATCAAGGGGATCTTTTAGCTAATAATGTTTCCAGATGGTGTCAGATGGGGAGGGCTTATTTTGATTTTTTTTTTAAGTGAACTGTATTTCTCTGGATTTCTGAATACCCAGAAATTCATGCACACCCCCCCAAAAAAAAACTTCTCTGAGAACTTTCAGATAAACAGTTCTATTTTTCTTCTCCCAATCAAACATTGTCAGATTCAACCTTGACTCTGCCCACCCTCCTCTCCCCATCCAAAATGTCAAATTTGAGTTGCTCTTGAAAAAATATAGATAAGATATGTAACAGTAAAAAAACCCATTTAAGGTCCCATCAAATCTCCAGACCGACATGACATAACCTTCCACACAGTCTGGCTTGGTCGAATTCACTCATCAGCATCAGGTTTGACGTCCAACATGGCGTGGAGTTCCTCGGGCGTGTAGCCCAGAAGGCTCTGCAAGTCACAGACGAAACGGTACACGTAGCGCTTGCCAGCTGTCTTATGGATGATGTTCTTGTCGTAATAGTAGCGGAGGCCACGGCTCAGCTTCTCGTAGTTCATCTTGGGTTTGTTTTTCCTCTTGCCCCATCGCCTGGCAACCTGGGAGAGGAGGAAAACAAAGACGAAGGGGTCAGAGATTAAGTGTACATATGACAATACGTATCTTCCTCCAGGCATGGCTGAGTAATAAGGGACTGGTAGCTCCTTCTGCTGGGTGGGCTAATGGCCCTAATTTTTTTCTTCCTCCTCCATGAATTCAAGGAGGATTGGACCATCAATCCTACTTATTGGGCAGGAAGAGTGTCCCTAGCCTCTTTGCCAGAGGATGAAAATGGGTGACAGGAGAGGGATCACTTGAGGATTCCCTGTTCTGTTCACCCCCTCCAGGTCATCTGGCATTGGCTACCACTGTCCTAGGTTACTAGGCTAGATGGACCTTTGGTCTGATCCAGTATGGCCGTTCTTATGAGGAATGGGCTCTGAGAGGAGTTGAATGCCAGAGTTTTCAGCGGGCCAGCAGATCAAACCCCTGATGGGCTGTAGAAACAGCACCCATTGGATCATGAAATAGAATCAGATGAAGACAGGCAATGGGACCTGACCCATCCATTGAAGTCAATGTAAAGCTCCACCTCTCATCTCTCATAACATACTTCTATGGTAAGCTCTTTGGGGCCCTGGCTGTCTTTTCGAGTAGACAGCGCCTAGCATGCTTGGGGCTTACTCTGTGGTTGGTGGCCTCTAAAGCTATACAAATAACACAGAGGCAAAGTAGTTTCAGATAAAACTGAAAGCCATTTTTTCCCCAAAACGTTTGGCAAATTAAAAAAAAAAAAATTGTTCCGGGTAAAAGCAAGCTTTGGCTTGACAATTTGTCAAGGTTTTGTTTCAGTTTCAAGCATGTAAACATTTGTATTAGTTTTTAAACACACTGAAAATAAATGTTGAATTACGGGATGGAATTGCTTCATTTTTCTTGACAGAATCCTCCCCCCACTTCTGACAAAAATGATTTGGCAAAAATGACACAAAATCGTGACACATTTTACTGTTGCCAAATCTGCATTTTTCACCCAGAACAAAACAACTTTGGTATGAAATATTTCACCTAGCTTCTACTGCAACACAATTCATCATTACTCATTAATGATCAGATTTTAATGGGAACTCTCTAAACCATTGATTTTTCCAGAAAATATTGAGGGATCAACATCCCACAACCTTACGTCCCCCTGCCCAGAATCATACTGACATGACGTATAGCATCTCAGTCATGAAGCAAGAGGACTGAGGTTATGCTCCTAAGCATTTTCCATGGTCTCTGAGTCTCTGCTCAACTATGGAGTCCCATACCTCGTCTGGGTCTGAGAGCTTGAATTCCCAGCCATCACCCGTCCAGCTGATGAAGGATTGGCAGGACTTGTCGGTGAGCAGCTCCAGCAGGAACTGCCACAGCTGAATGGGTCCACTGCCTAGGAATGGGAAGAAGCCACAAGCTGTTAAAACCTGGTGAGCCAGGACTGAAATGGATGCAGATTTCTTTCCACCCCAAACTCCTGCATGGGAAGACACAGACAAGCAAATGGATACGAAACACTCTGGCTGTTTGTCAGTACAGAAAGTACTCAGAGCTGAGACTCTGGTTCTGTTACATGCCCCACCACTGAGGAATTGACTTCACCTACTCTGAGATCAAGGCTCTGGAGATCGATCTTTCAGGGTTCAATTTAGCGGGTCTAGTAAGGACCCACTAAATCGAATGCTGATGGTGTCCCCATCAACTCCTGGACTTCACCAGGACACAATGTATAAGGGAAGTTAACGGGAGAGTTTCTCATGTTGACCTCCCACAGTGGGGATGGAGACAGAAATTTGACCTAAGGTATGTCAGCTCCAGCTACACTATTCTCATAGCTGGAGTTGCGTATCTTAGGTTGACTTTCTCCAGCACTGTAGACCTGGCCACACTCAGATGCCTTCAGTTCCCTTTCTTAACTCCATGGACGCCCTTGAAGACTCCCTCCTTGTCTCTGTCTTCTTAGACTGCTGGTTCCTTGGGGCAAAGCCTTTGAATTCCTCTGTGTTTGTACATTGTGCCTAGCACAGTGGGAGCCGATGGAGTGGGACGTGGATATCAATTATTATTCATATGAATAGGTAGCATCCCCTTTGCCACATCTCAGGGCCCTGCACTAGCAGTCTGAGTGAAGAGCTGAGCAACTGGCAGTTTGAGAGTTAACGCCTACAGGTAAAGCTACTTCCTACTGCAGTCCAAGTGGAACGCTCCACCACTGGAATGTTTCACCTCACTGGAAGTTACATAAAGAGGACTATTTCTTGGCATTAAAATAGGGAGGATTTTTTCTTCTGCCACTGAATCACCGTCTTCTCCTACATGCCAAAAACCTCCCAGCTGCTGCTTGAACTCCTACACTATCACGCAGGGGAGGATTTTTTCTTCTGCCATTGAATCACCGTCTTCTCCTACGTGCCAAAAACCTCCCAGCCGCTGCTTGAACTCCTACACTATCACGCACCGCCTCCTGACCTTTTCATTCTGCTCCATGGCTGTGCACTGAGATGTGATAAAGGGGACACAGGTATGAAAATTATTTGGCCTCTCTCCAGGACATGTTGCTGCAGGAACCACCTACCTAAACTCGCAGAGAGCAAAAGATCAGTGAGGCAACTTAGTGCAGCCAGGTCGGCTAGGGCTACAAGGAACGGGGCTGGTTGGTCAGTGGGTACTGGAGAAGTAGGAAGGCCATTCTGACGAGTGCTAGAACAACAGAACTGAGGGTCGTCAGAGGACAGTCTCACAGGTTAGCCTCTTGAATAATTCCCAAGACTTAGAACTAGATTCTTTGCAAGATTGGAGCGTGCAAGCCGATGTTAAGGTCTTCTGCGTGAAAGGTGGCTGTATGTTCTTCAGCAGCATCCTATCACATTGAACAGGGAATCCCACCCAGCCATGACATCCTGAAATCAGCTGGAATTGAATCCCTTTTGTACACTGTGCAGATCCGAGTCAGCCGAAGAGGAGAGCATGCAAAGTCCAGCCAACCCCTACCCAACCACAAGCAAGTTCCCCATCTGATTGTTCTCATGATGCATTACCATGGACATGGAGGTGTGAAGCCTCCCTTGTTATATACCCTTGAATCATACAAAGCTATTTGCTTTGCTGCTCCATTGTCTAAGTACCGTACGGATGCTCATTTTGGCCATCAGCTATTTGTCAAGCTTGTCGAGAAATGCCTTAGAAATGGCAACGCATGATGTCAAAAACATCCCAGTGATTATCAGGTTAACTTTCATCCCCTCTGACACAATGTGCCGTCCACCTGCCTGCAGCGGGCAAGTAGGCGGTTTTAAATCAGAACTGCCTCCTGCTGACAAACTTTTTCCGTCTGTGTCGGGGATAACAATTCTGGGAGGAGAGCATAACTCATCTGATCAGCAGAAAACTCCCACTCCTGAAACAAGATGCTTATCTACAACAGTCAAATCCCCCCGGATCCCAAATTCTCCCTCCTCCCAGAATTGATTTGCTGTAGGAGCCTTGGGTGTACTTGGTTGAGACTGGACATTTAATTTAAAGGCACAGTACTCCTTGTCTATTTGCATTGTATCTTGCCAGGCTACAGGGCATCTGATTCCTACATGCGTAAGCACGGCAGATGCGAAGAAGTACGTGGCATGCTGCCCTGAGAGATTATGCCTTTACACACTTTCCTATCAGGCTTTCACTGGCTCAGAGTCACATGCTGAGTGACTCCTAAATACTGATATCTTCTTTTCTCTCATGTACCAGCAAAAGCCAAAATGGGAGCCCTCAAGCCAAAACCTGTCGGATTAGCACCTTTCACGAGGGACCACACCTAGAACACGGTGTTGCTTTGGGCCACATATTTCCAGCAAGACACTGACACAACTCAGAAGAGTTCAGAAAAGGGCAGTGGAAATGATCCAGGGCTTAGAGGGAATGAGTTGCAAGGAAAGAATTAAACATGTAAAGCGGGTTAAGCAACAATGAAGGTGGGGGAAAGGAGAACCGACTAATAATGGTGATGGGTGAAAGCCCGAAGACGGCAGAAGGAACAACAGGACAAAATCACTCGATGACAATTCATGCTGCATGTCAAGATAGGATTGGAGATAATCTCTCCAGGATGGTGACGGATGTCTTATTGCTTTTAGATTCATAGATTCCAAGGCCAGAAGAGACCATTCACCCTGGTGGGCTACCAGATTCTTTGTTTAGCTGAACATCCACAGGTATGGCCACTCACAGCTCCCATTGGCCGTGGTTTACTGTTACTGACCAATGAGAACTGCAGGAAGCAGCATAGGCTGGGCCACTACTTCCTGCAGCTCCCATTGGCTGGAAATTGTGAACGACAGCCAATGGGCGCTGCAAGCCACTGTATCTGTGAACGTTCAGGTAAACTAAAGTGTCTGGTGGCCCACCAGGGGCTAACCCCAGCAAACCGCCTCTGATCTGTGGGCCACTTTTTGCCCACCGTGATCTAGTCTGATATCCTGCATAGAACAGGACAGAGAATTTCCCCAAATAATTTTAAAATCCTGAATGATGGAGACATTTAAAACTACTGGAAACTCAGCAAACTGCTAGTAGACTGGGAACAATCCTGCCTGGGGAAGGGGCAGATTAAATGGAGCCTCATGTGTCTGTTCTGGCTGTAGAACAGGGGTGAGGTGGCTGCTGACCCACAGGGGAAAAAACCCAATGCCTCTCGCCTCGGGGGATGGATCCAGCCACGCCAGGGGCCAGATCTACCCCCTGGGCCTCAGGTTCCCCACCCCTGCTGGAAAGCCACATAGCAAATGAGAGAACTCAAGTGCCAACCTGACTGGGAACTCAAGTGCCAACCTGACCTGGCTTGCTATCTTAGCACCTTTGCAGGAACCTTGTGAATCCGCGCCTGGGCTCAAAGACTCACTACTGTGGGGTTAGTTTGGGAGGGTATGTCTACACTACCCTCCTAGTTCGAACTAGCGGGGTAATGTAGGCATACCGCACTTGCAAATGAAGCCCGGGAAATTCAAATCCCGGGCTTCATTTGCAAGTGCGGTATGCCTACATTACCCTCCTAGTTCGAACTAGGAGGGTAATGTAGGCATACCGCACTTGCAAATGAAGCCCGGGAAATTCAAATCCCGGGCTTCATTTGCAAGTGCGGTATGCCTACATTACCCTCCTAGTTCGAACTAGGAGGGTAATGTAGGCATACCGCACTTGCAAATGAAGCCCGGGAAATTCAAATCCCGGGCTTCATTTGCAAGTGCGGTATGCCTACATTACCCTCCTAGTTCGAACTAGGAGGGTAATGTAGGCATACCGCACTTGCAAATGAAGCCCGGGAAATTCAAATCCCGGGCTTCATTTGCAAGTGCGGTATGCCTACATTACCCTCCTAGTTCGAACTAGCGGGGTAGTGTAGACATACCCTTAGTTTGCTTGCAGCATAGATGTCCCTTGAGAGATTCCTGAAGATCTGCTGCTTCTCCTTTAGTTCAAGGGTATCGGAGTGATTATGAGACTCTTTGTTATCAGTGGACTGATGTGCAAAGCAATCTCTCTCTCGCCCCCGGTCTGAGCAAGGGAGACGCTACATTCTGCAGGGAAATATCTGAGAAAACCGCCTTTGGGGAGGCTTTGCCAAAGACTGGCTCCAAGGATTTTGTTACATTTGGTGGGGGCTGAGCTGCAACCCCACTGCCCAGATGGCCAGGCTGGGGAGGCTCAGACAGGGACTTTGCAGCTGCTTGCATTATAATGGGCTGGTCCAGACGCCTCCAAACTTTGGGGATCCCAGCTCTGCTTGCAATCATGATGAATTGCAGCTCGGGGTGGGGGAGCGGGAGCACAGCTGGAAAATTAGTTCTTCCCACCATAGTATTTCGGCAAGGCAGGTGGATGCACACTGTGCAATCCATGTGCGTTGTGCTGCAAGGGCTGATCAAACTGAGCAGGTTCTGGCCCTAAATAGACAACAGAGGATTCTCCTTATGCGGGGGAATTCCCCAACATCGTAAAAACCGACAGAGCCAGCCTCTGTGCCAGCCACTGTCACTGGTGAAGAGGGGGCGCTGGGGGCAGCGTTGCATGGTGCTCTAACTTATGTCGGGGCAGACTGACACAGGGATGCGCAGTAGAAAGAGGATCAGTTCTCTGCCCTGTCGATTTCCCTTAACCGTTGATGCCTGTTCCCACTAATGGGAACCTTGAGACAAGTGATTGACCTGGTCTGGCACATCGCCAGACCACTCCCGCTTTCACAAGCGCTTTCCAGACTTTCCAAGCTCCCAGAGAGGAATTTCTCTATCCTTAGGCCAAGGCGCCTGGTGCAATCAGCACATTCTCCTCCCGCTCGGCTGCCAGCTGGCATGGAGGGGGGTAGGAAAGCCTAGCAATTCATCACTCCAAGCAGTGTGGAATCCCACGCCA